CAATAATTTTGTCCACTTTCAGTACGATAGAGTTGATGATACGTAACCTGAAGGAAATAATTTACCTGTCCTTAAATCTTAACAATTTTAAGAGACAAATTGGTGTCACTTTGTAACACTGTGTGCGGCATCTACTTAAATTATTTATAATTTCCCGTATTTGCTATGAGAAATGAAGAAGATGCTGGCACCGGAGCTCATATCTTTGTCTGACACAAATAACTTGATAATTAGAAATCTTTAGGATTTCATTCATATGGCTGAATACCTTCATCTTAAGGATGCTGTTAGGAAGTCAAAGCCTAACACAAGATATCTACTATAATTGTAGTATTTCACTAACTTAATGTACTTTTTAGATTAGAAAAAAATCATAATATATAGTTAATCATAATTTTCAATAGTAGTTTATAATTATGCTTATTTTAGCAGTACCTTTAGTTAAATAAGTTGGCTCTTCAAAGAAATTTTATGCTTTGTTCTAGATTTAATTAGAAAAACAAAACACATTCTGATCTATTAAAGTCAGGAAGCTTACTTCCTGGAAGCTTATGTACTTGTTAATAGAAAGAAATAACAATAGCAAGATTGCTAAGTTTAGCGTTATCTTTAGACAAATGACTTTTGGATGTTTAAAAATATTTTGCTATGTTCTATATAAATCATAAATAAAACAAAATTTACTTTGTTGCCTTCAAAGTAGAACCCAGTGAGTGCAATATAACTACAATAGGTTCTTACTCACTCCTTCTTAAATTTTTCATTGGCTTATTAAGACATAGCCTTTAACTTCTTTATCAAATTTTATTTTATGGACGTTATTGGCTTGAAACGCTTACTTCTAACTTTCTTGCTTTAACTCCGGTAGCAGAAAAGACTGACATCAGGGTATGTTAGGTAAGTTCGGTCCATGGTGAATTATATTGCAGCATTAATTTTTACAATTCGATGGTTTAATCCATCACAGACCACAGAAAACTATGTTTAAACACAGTGAGTAACAGATAGTATAGTGCTTCCAGAAAAAAAAACATTGTGACATTGTTTCTTACACATAAGTTTTTATAAATATAAGTTATAGTTTTTGTACGTAATGCACTTAGCAAGTATATTTTTAGAATTGATAATGGTTCCTTCTAAGTATTGCAATATATTTGTAACTTCAAATGTTAAAAATAACACTTATGTATAATTTATGAAATTAAAAATAACGACTTTGTATTTAATTTCATTTACACCAAAATAATTAAGATCGAATTGAATTAAATAACACCAACGTAATACTTTTAATATTTATATTTCCGCCCATACAATTTCCATTGGTGGGCTTATCATTTGAGTATTCATTTAACATTTATTTGCCATGCCATAATAATTGAGTTAATCGCATTTCGAATGGCTTAATGAAGAAGTGAATGGGCCCAAACAACAAAGCCAATTATACGACGTTGCGAGAGATAATGTCAAGAAATTTTAGGCTTAACCCGCATACAAAACGTGACACAAAAACATTCGAATTTGGCATGATTATAAAAGGAAAAAATAGAAGATAAAAGACCAAATAAAAAAATAAAAGAAGAAATAAAACCATTTTCAATGGAACTGAAGCATTTGAGTAACTCAAACGCAAATGTTAAATGCGCTTTCATAGACAGACTATTAAAATGTCATTTGAGTATAGATAGATAAGAGCAGAGATAGATAGAT